ATATTTCTGGTTTTGAAGGCCACTCAGTCTTTGTCACAACTATTCAACTCTGCTCTCATAGCACAAAGGCACCCACAGACAATATGTACACAAATAGGCATGATTGTGTGTCAATAAAACTTTATTTGCAGAAAACAGGAAGCATACTAAATTTGGCCCACTGGCTGTACCCTGCCAACTTCCACTCTAAATGACTATTTGGTGTGATATTCTCAAAGACAGAAACAGGAAGCTAAAGAAAGATAGAGTTAACTTCTTCAAAGCCTAAGCAGTGATCATTAAAAAAAGCTCTCTGGCCTAGACTGAGGAACAGAAGCCCTGTTCCTGTTCCACTTTTTGACTAATTGCAAAGCTTCCAAATAACACCACACCATTAAAAACTTGTTTAACTGCTCTACAGTAATCTGAAATTCTGATCACTAATATTTCTATTATAATTTACCATTATGAGGCCTCTGCATCGTTTTGACACATCAAATAGCAATCTTCTCTGAGGTTATAGTATAGGGAACTACCATCTTTATGACTTTTTATTATTGACTGAAATATAAACACAAAATGTAGAACCAACACTGTTCTGACTTCTAGAAGTACTGTAACAAACAGTGAACTGATCTGAGTTTAAAAATAGCAAGAAACATGTTTTATGTTTCTTTGAAATAAGTTGTAAAATGCATAAAAAAGCAAAAGGTCACACAATAGTATCTATGAAGGTAATAAAATACATAAGACAAGCTTTGAATTCTCTCAATAAAATACCCATGTATTAATTAAATATTAGGAGCTACAGGGAATAAGGACTTACACCCTTAAAAACTACTGAGGACCCCAAAGGGCTTTTGTTTATGTGAGTTATACCTATATTTACCACATTAGAAATTAAAACATATCTTTAGTATTTATTTTAAAATAAAAGTACTGACTTTGTACCATTGGTGCAAATGTTAACACAATCAAAAATGCCACAAGACAGCTTAGTATTATTATGAAAATAATCTGAACTTGAGGACCTCCATGGAGCCACAGACCCCCCAACTTGAGAACCACTGATCTAGGGGTTGGGTGGCAAGAGGCAGAATGGACAGACTGCAGCCTGGAAATCAGAGAGGTACTTACTTTGGGGAGGGCTTATATCTTCTTTAACTTTAAGGAAAGTTACAAGAGGAATGAAGAAAAGAGAATTATTATGCAGCCTTGAAGAGAGAAAATACCCGCAGAGCTGTGAAAAAGGAAACTTGGGTTTAGAGGTCTGACAGTCTTCTGGGATCCACGGTCAGAATCCTACAACACGGGTTTCCACACACCCACCCTGTTCTTTGGGAAGGCAGGTACCAAGCAAGACTGTCACCTTAAGTGACCCAAGCTCACATCTTGCCTTGCCTATCATGCCCATGGCTTACTAATTCAATTCAATGATTGACAGTTATGTAAAAGAGAAAAAGAGCATGCACTGACTAATGATTTTAAGAAATCAAAGAGGATAGTCCTGGGATGCCACCATCACACTCTGTTGGGAGGATCCCTTTCTTGAGTGTCTCTAGCTTTCAACTCTTGATTATTCAGCATAAGTCATGTAACCAAATCAGTAAAAGAACGTGAGGACAGAGACATGAAGCATGTTCACTGGGCCATGCTGGTGGACACAGAGCCCATGCTGCTCCTCTGCTCTGCAGACCCATTCAGAGTAACATTCCCATCACATCATATGCCTGCATGCAATGACGTGTGCACACTCAAATTCTCTTCCACAAAGGGCTTACATGGAGTCTTACATTTCAATTCCAGGTGGAAAAATTCTCTCTTCCCCCAATAAGCAATAAAGCGTCTTAAAAGCAAGGCTTTGTGTATAAATTTGACTCTCCTGTTGGTCTGTACCTTGACTCAATCTTAGCTTTAAATGGCCAGTGAATTTCAATGCAAATACAATTGACAAGGTGGGGAAAAGGTGAAAGTGAAAGTCGCTCAGCCATGTCCAGTTTTTTGCGACCCCAGGAACTGTAGCCTGCCAGTCTCCTCTGTCCATGGAATTCTCCAGGCAAGAATACTGGAGTGGGTTGCTATGCCCTCCTCCAAGGGATCTTCCCAACCCAGGAATCAAATGGGGGTCTTCTCCATAGCAGGAAGATTCTTTACCAGCTGAGCTACCAGGGAAGTCTAGGGAAAGGGTGAGTGGGAGAAAAAAATAAAATCTAGGAAGATGGCTGCCCCCCCTGCCAAACATCATCAATAGAGAGCTTATTTTAACTGTGTTCCATCTAACTTGATCGAGGGACAGAGGCCAAAGTGGGTAACTGCTCCCCTCCCAGGTGAGAAAGTGGCCAGCTCTTAGAATTAAAGCAGTAACAGCCCATATGACTATTCCCTTTTATTGATAAAACAGCCTGCTGTGAAGCACACAAACCACCTAGAAGATCACTTTGGAAGCACCTGATTGAATTTGATTGATGCTAGAGTGGGTCTGAACTTGAACCGGAACAATGGGGGGCGGGGGGGGGGGGGTGTGCTGCATCTGTGATCATGTTCTCTCTCAGAAAATATATACTTCAGGACAAATTCAACAAAGCCATTCAGGCAACAGCCACCTGTGGTCCGTAACCAGGTTTATGGGACATAATCAAGAGGAGGGGAGAGAAAAAACCCATAGCCTTCAAACTGAACTGAAGCAAACCGATTGGGGGTTTGGATTCCTGCACGATGCATTTACAAATAGCCACTGGACCAAAGGCACTTTCCTGCCATCACTGTGAACAAGCCCAATTTTCCAAGGGATCTTCATCTGTGAGAACTGTACAGCCCCAGTTTGCAGACTTAGGAAAGTTCTTTTTTTTTTTTAAGAAGATGCTCTCAGGCGGTGATCTCATCTGACTAAATTAAGTCGTGACTTGCTGCTGTGCAGGCGTCCTGCAGCCATTAGCCACAGCGCTTTCCAACTGGCAGCAAGGCAGGACTGAAAGACTAATCTCCCCACAGATAAACAATAGCAATGCAAACATACCCTCCTGCTTCCAAACAGGAGGGTAAGACGCACAGCCACCGGATCCTTCCCAGTTCCAACAGAGTAGAGAGATAAACGTGTCCTTCTCCTCTGCTCCTGACTAATAGGATTTGAGAGACTACAGGCCAGTCCCCTGGGGAGAAAAAGCTAAAGACACAGCGCTAAGCACACAGTGGGGGCTCATCAAGTATGGATTAAATGACTGATGTCTCTCCTCCTTTCAGAGCTAGGGTGGTTCATGGTTGGGGCAGGGACGGCATATTAATATACAAAGCATTAAATATAATAGTGGCTAGATTTTAGGTGTCTTGTTTAGCAGCTAAGAAATACTTTCTGGCTGTCTCTCTTTGCATTCACCCCACTCCAGGAAGCATATAAGCCTTCTTGCCATATATATTCATTTCATTCTTACCTCTTTTTTTTTTTTTCTGTGATTTCCTTTCTCTCAGACTTTTCTTATTCTATCCTGTTATAGTTTTATATCTTTCCAAACTGTTTCCAATCCATTTTTGAAACAAGGCAAGAGTATAAACAGATACTGTAACTAATTTCTTTAAAAAAAAAAAGTATTGGCGGCATGTGGCATCATTTAATGAGTTTTTTCATAGAGAGAACAAGAGAAACTATAAGGTTGCAACCAATATCTGAACTTGGCTGAAGTCCTGGAAAAGCTAGGATGCTCAAAAAACTTCTACAAAGGAGTTACTCTGCATTCCCAGAATCCTGGAAGCCCCTGTATCCTGGACCAGTCCATAAGGACCCTGGCACTCTCAGATCATGTTCCCAATTTGGTCCCCAAACCCAACAGTGGGAGATAATGTCTAAGAAGAAAATCACTTTAAAAGAAAAAATATATATATAGGTATATATATATTATTTACACACATACACATACATTCTTTTAAATAGGGTAAATCATAAGCAACAAAAGTCCATGATCATCTGCAGAAGTAATCCTACTCTGAAAGATGCTTTAGAGATGCTCACTGACAGATATGGGGACAGCATCCAAAAATGAATCAGAATGGATAAGATACTCACTTAGGTATTGAAAAAGGCACTGAACCCAATCAGCTGCATTGTGCCTGGCCCACCGAAGAGGGTATCCTGACCAGCAGGCATTAAGTGTGCCCATCCGCTTGGCAAGAACAGTATGTTACCATTAGAAATGTATGCACTTGATTGATACCAGCCATTAAACTCATTCAGCTCTCTATGCCCAGATCCACCAAGCAGCCTTCCAAGAGAAATGGGATTTATGACTAGGTTTCACTGAAGGGGAAAAGGGTGAACATTAGCCACCCAGAGTAGGTCAACTAGATGGATATATTTCCTCTGCAAAGCTTGGAAGTTGGCATTTCATATGTAAAATTCTGATCAGTCTTGTTAGCCTAGGTCAGACTCTATGAGAAGGATCAATTGTGGAAAATGGCCAAAGGTCACATTTTGAGACCTGCAGAAAGAACTAAGGTCTAGATCCACAGACTACCCACCACCAAAGATCTATCTCCTGAGAACCCTCTTCATGTGAGCAAACCAGTCTCTCAGAAAGAGCAGAGAAGCCAGGTCCCTTTTACAGAAACAATTTCTCCTTCGTTAGAATCATTTCCATCCAGAATCTACCAAATGCATAATAAGATTCAAAACAGAATCTAAAGGGCGAGGGAGGAAAAAAAGGAATACAAATGAGATTAATCAAAACAAAAATAGAAATATGGTAGAAAGACTACTATAATATATAAGCCTTTTTTTTTTTTTAATGACTATTGAAAACTAAATAGAAGACCCAGGTAAACAGACTTTGGTTAAACAGAAATTTAAGATATAGTGATGATGATTTTATAAAGAAGGAAATACAAAAATAAAGGTGGCAACTTTTAAGATCCTTAGGAAAGCTCAGTTGATCTAGTATACCAGTGCCAAAAAAGAAGCAACCTACGTAAGTCAACTTTCTGCCTATTGAGCATTTCTCTGGCTTGTTTTTTCCTCTCTTGGCACTTTTAAAAGTGAGCAACTACCCTCAGCTCCACACACATCCTACCGTAAGCGCCTGGATCTCTTCCTCTGCTTCTGCGGTCGTCTCTTCCAGCTCCGTCTTGGCCTGGCGGAGCTGGCTCTCCAGGGCCGCCCGTGCAGCCTGCAGGGCTGCCAGCTGGGATTCACGCTCCTGCAGGGAGAGCTGCAGCTCTGTGAGCTGGCGCTTGAGCTCCAGTTTCTGCTCTTCATGCTCTAGGCTGACCTGAGACACACAGAGAGAGACTTGTTGAACTTAACTGAAGAGAAAGCCAAGACACAACCTGCATCTTAAATCTGATCATGGAATCAAATTCTCAGCAGTCAACTGAGAAGGAAAAAAAAAATGGAATAAAACAGCTCTGATTTTGATGAGTCTCAAAAATCAACAGGAGAACACGTAAGAGTATGTATAACATATATACAGAGCATCCCTTCCTTTCCTTTATTACAGGGCTTGAGAAAGCTTCTAAAAAAATCCATACAGCAAGAATCTCCTATGAAAATTATGATTATCATTAGAAAAATATTTAAAAGTGAACATAAACCAACAGAACTGGACATGGAACAATTGGTTCAAAATTGGGAAAGGAGTACAATAAGGCTATATATTGTCACCCTGCTTATTTAACTTACATGCAGAATACATCATGCGAAATACCATGCTGGATGATTCACAAGCTGGAATCAAGATTGCCAGGAGAAATATAGACAACCTCAGATACGCAGATAATACCACTCTTAAGGCAGAAAGTGAAGAGGAACTAAAGAGCTTCTTGATGAAGGTGAAAGAGGAGAGTGAAAAAACTGGTTTGAAGCTCAACATTAGAAAATTAAGATCATGGAATATAGTCCCATCACTTCATGGCAAATAGAAGGGGAAAAAGTGGAAACAGTGACAGATATTCTTTTTTGGGGCCCCAAAATCACTGTGGACGATGACTGCAGCCAATGAAATTAAAAGACACTTCCTCCTTGAAAGGAAAACTATGACAAACATAGACAGCATGTTAAAAAGCAAAGACATCACTTTGCTGACAAAAGTCTGTATAGTCAAAGCTATGGTTTTTCCAGTAGTCATATATGGATGTGAGAGTTGGACCATAAAGAAGGCTGAGCACCGAAAAATTAATGCCTTCAAGTTGTGGTGCTGGAGAAGATTTTTGAGAGTTCCTTGGACTGCAAGGAGATCAATTCCAGTCAACCCTAAAGAAAATCAACCTGGAATATTCACTGAAAGGACTGATGTTGAAGCTGAAGCTCCAATACTTTGGCCAACTAATGAGAAGAGCCGACTCACTGGAAAAGACCCTGATGTTGGGAAAGACTGAAGGCAAAAGGAGAAGAGAACGACAGAGGAAGAGATGGTCAGATAGCATTACCAATTCAATGGACATGATTTTGAGCAAACTCCAGGAGACGGTGAGGGACAGAGGAGCCTGGCGTGCTGCAGTTAATGGGGTTGCAAAGAGTCAGACACAACTTAGTGACTGAACAACAACAAAAAACATAAATAACATCTTGACAGTAACAAGGACATCTTTACAATGGGATTACAAGTGGAACAACAGACTGCATTCTACTTATTTTAAATATTCTTGTTCTTATTTGTTCTCATCAGGTAACCTAAATTAAGGTCACACTGTGAACAAATCATTCCTCCCTTCGTCTACCCATCTATCTACTCAAACTTTCATCTATTCAAGAAATACTTACTTGGCAAATTCTATATATAAAGAAATAGAGAGATGAAGCAGTCTCTGCCTTCAAGTTGGGGAGAAAACTAAAAACCAACCAATGCCATACATTGTGATCAAGTGCAATGGTCCAGACATGCAGAAAAGCGGGAACACAGCAGAGGGGAAGAGAAAGTAATTGTGGATCTGTGTACTGAAGAATCCCATGAGCCAAACAAGCAGACAAGAGGGGAAAGAAAACTCCAAGCAGAGGAAGCAAGACATCAAAGGCATGGAGATGTGGAAGACCCTGGCACATCTGCTGACATAACCAATGTGATAAGCTGTTCTAAGGACCAGACCCTGTGCTGGACATGGGGTCACCAAGCAAATAAGAGATGCCTGCTGCTGTTTGAGAGTTCGCTGTTTAATGAAGACAGCCAAGGGGTACACAGGGAATAAGCTAATCATGAAAGGCCATGGAGACCCAAAGGAGACATTCCATCTAGGTCCAAGGGATTGGAGAAGGCTCCTTGGGAAAGGTTAACACCCAAGTCTCAGAGGTCATAGGCATGAAGAGGAGAAAGACAAGAGATGTAGCCTAGAGAACCAACAGGATTTTGATGATACAGTCACCATAGGGAACAGTATGGCAGTTCCTTAAAAAACTAAAAACAGAGCTACCATATGACCCCACATCCCACTCCTCAGCATATATCCAGAGAAAACCATAATTTGAAAAGATACATGCAACCCACTGCAGCACTGTTTACAACAGCCAGGATGTGGAAGCAATCTCAATGTCCATCGACAGAGAAATGGACAGAGAAGATGTGGTACATATAACATATTGGAATACTAGTCACCCCTAAAAAGGAATGAAATAATGCATCTGCAGCAACATGGAGGGACTTAAGACTGTCATACTGAGTGGAGTCAGACAGAGAAAGACAAATATCATATGATATCACTTACATGTGGAATCTAAAAAAAACAAAAAGAAAAGGTACAAGTGAACTTATTTACAGAACTGAAAGAGACTCACAGATGTAGAAAACAGACGTATGGTTAACGGCGGGGGGGGGGGGGGGGGGGGGGGGGGGGGGGGGTAAATGGTGAGACTGGGGTTGACACACACACACAGCTACATATAAAACAGGTAACTCACAGGGGCCTACTGCACAGCACAGGGAGCCCTATGCAGCACTCAGTAATGACGCAGATGGGAAAAGAGCACGAAAGAGCTGATATATGTATAACTCACTCACTCTGCTGTACAGCAAAACTAATACAACACTGTGAGGCAACTATAAAAATCATCCCATAAAAATATTAAAAATAAATAAATAAATAAATAAATAAATAAATAAAGCTAAACTCCAGACTCCCCTAGAGTACATACAGCCCTGAACCTCTCTGGAAGTGTCCTAAATTTCGCACACCACCCCTTGCGGGGCTAGCTATACAGATTCAAGAATAAAGCAACACGTCCGTCCTCCCTGGGTTAGATTAATGCCCAGTGGAACAACAGCTGCAGGGCAGACACAGAAGAGAGACATTTGTGGGAAGAGAAAGCAAAAGACAGTTAGCCAATGTTCCCACGACCAGAGAAATGTGAGTTATTTACACTCACACCGCTAAGGCTGACGCTACAGGGAAGTGTGGTTAAACTTACTGAAGAGTAAAAATATAGCCTGGATAAGAAAAGTAAAACCACTGCCTAAGGCTTCTGGACAACCAAGAACAATGGTCCTCAAACTCCAGAAGCATAAGCATCACCCAGGGTGCTAGTTAAAAATGCAAATCCCTGCTCCTCACCCCCTCACCCCTCAACTCAATTCAATTAAAAAACTTGAGGGAGGAGGCTACCCAGGAATCTGCATTTCAAAACAATGGCCACTGTGGTCTTAATAGAGAGGGGTCAACACCTTGCCAACCCCGGTCCTTCAGAGAAGTGGCCTCACTTAATACTCCAGTACAAATAAAGAAGACATTCTTAAAAAAAAAAAGACATTCTTAAATGTCAGAATTCCCTCAAGGTTTAGTCCTTAACTAAAGATGGTCTGCTTAACAGTCTTTGCCATAACAGAGATCATACACTCTTGGAAGAATTCCATCACAAATATCTGAGTCCCTCGTCACCACGCCTAATTGGGATGTCCCACTTAGAACGACCTCCCTCCTGAGTTTCGGTTCTGCCTCTGCCACTGTCTACTAAGCCAACGTGTTGGGCTGACAGACCCAGAGATCAGGGGTGGGTCTATCTTGTCACCACTGTCCACCAGGATACTAACTGGCAAACAGCAGGCATTTAATAAATATACAGTTGGTGATGCCAAGTCACAGCTTAGATCAACCTCAAAATATTCACAACTAAATGTGTGGGATTTCCCTTCCCAAACCTGGCTATCCTTCCCAGCTACTTTATTCCTCTGAAAAGAATCACCTTCCATCAAACAAACCTAAAGTTCAGATTTCTCATTTAGTCTCCCACTGCCATGAAACCTGTGTCACTAAGCCGTACTATGGGCTAAACTCCAAATGAGGACATGGGCACGTGATCCTCCATGACCCGGGACAGAGGAATCGCTCTGCCCCCATTTGAAGGTGCATCAATTTACGTCATCCTTGTGTAACCTGATAAAGGAGCAGCCCGGAGGTTGTCAAACTCCTAAGAAGCGGAGGTGGAATTCTAACCCAGACCCCTGTGGTCCCGACTGCACTCTTCACCACCACCCATGATGGCGTTCATGTATGTATTGATTTGAGCTTGACACCCAGCTGCCTGGGGTCTCTGGTGCTCCAACAAATGCCCTTGGGAGGTCACCTTCACTCTTACCTCCCTCAGCCTGGTCTCCAGCTCCAGCAGACGGTTCTTGTCACTGTGGTCTTGGTGGCTTATCTTTTCCAGCTGCTCCTCCAGCTTCCGGTTCTGGGCCTCCAATTTCCCAGCTTGCGTCTCCAGGTAAAACTTCTGTTGCCTGAGTTCTGAAATCATCTCTTCCTGGGCCTTCCTGGTGGGGGTGGCAGGAGGAGCCAAGCAAAATCACAGTCTCGTTAGAGGTGAGCATGTCCCCCCTTGGAAGGACAGGCAGAAACAGAGAGAGAGGTATGTCTCAGTTAAGTGGACCACACTTGTTCCCAGGTTAGTGCTGTTCAGACCTGGCCTTGTATGCATGACTCCAGCAGGGGGACCTGGGGCCCACCTAGTCCCCACTGCTCAGAGTCCCTTGTTGATGAGATTAAGTATGGTCAAGGGATATTATCATTTCACTCTTTTGGTAGAACTTTTATTTTTCTAGTCTGTACAGGACAGCAGGAAGGGCCTCCTGAGTAAAAGAGCACCCTAATGACTCACTGACAGGGACCCGAAGGAAAAGGGGGTCATAAGGAAAAAGAACAATACTCCTTCCACTTCTCTGTTAACCACAGGCTGCTCAGAAGCTAGAATGACTCAAAGATCAGACAGCGGCCTGCCAAGCAGGTTTAAACTAAGATGGGAATGTTTAAGACCTCTAAAGGGACATATCCAAGCAGGGGGACATCCTGGAGACTGTAATTCTTTGGGGGAAAAGATTAAGATCAAAGTGCTCCTGGATCACAGAAGAGTACCTGCTGAATCCCCCAGAACTCACCTCCCAGGGCCCAGCTTCACAAGAGAAACTAGACGGCCCAGTCGGGCACACTGGAGATCACCTCCAGCTGATGACAGGACTCGAGTCTGGGGAATGAGGATGGCAGCTCTCCAGAAGCCAGCTATAGATAGCCTCGTTAGAGAGAGCAAAACACTCTGCGATGGGATGGGAATCTGAAGCATTTGAGAAAACCCAGCTCAAAAGAAAGGACAGGGCAGAGCAAGACCACTTCAGAGGGGGCAAAACTTCCTAAGTATACAGAGGTTGGGCCCCAGAATAGGAGTCATTAAATCCACTTCGGCTTCACCACACAGAAGAGCGGAGTTTGTACCCCAGGAGGGAGGACCAGAGTGGAATCAGGCACACAGAATCAGAACACTTACATGTTCCTCTGGGTAAAAAGACTGCTATTGGCCGCAAGTTTATTGGCTTCCGACAATTCCACTATCCTCTGTTCCAGGGATCTGATCTTGGAATCCATGGCATTGATCATCTGAAACACACGGTATCTTTTGGAACCTTGCACACAGACGGTGCCAATGCAGGGAGAATGACACAGGCCACATGGGCCAGGGAGGAGGACCATCTGAAAGGCAGGACCGGCAGACCAGAGAGGCAACTAGCCTATACCCTAAGAGGCAGAGAGCTCACAGCCCCAGCAACGGCACTCATTCACTTTATCAACAGAGGCTGCACATCCCCCCAGTAGCTGAGGGACCTGCAGGAAACACCCGCAGGAGGACCTGTTGAGGAACCTGGCATTCCCTGCGTCAACAGGCCTCGTTTAAATCCCTGTGTCGTCCACATGTGACCTGAGCCTGCAGGAGCCTCTAAACCTTGCATCTGCGAGTTCCTGTTCTTATCACCCATGGGCTTGTCGTTCTCTGAATGATTCCTTCTCACCCAGCCCTTACTGTCCTAGATTCTCTACATCAAAGCTTCCCCAACTTAGTGAATCATAAGAATTGGCCAGGACGGGGCTTGCTGGTTAAAAATATCACTTCCCAGGACCCTCCTTTAGAGATTCTGATGTGAAAAATCTCAGTAGGGTCTGAGATAATAAGTAGATTAACAAGCACAACAGGGGAGTCTTTTAAGGTGCAGGTTTCTGAAAACATCTGCCTGCAGGGATTAGAAAGGAAATAAGATGCCTGGCGGAGGCCAAGGGCCACCAGGCTTATTATCGGGGGGATGTTTTAAAAGTCACGGTTCTAGTTGATGCAGGTCAGCGTGAGTTCTTAAAGAAGGGTGTGAAAGGCAAAACTGGCCACAAGCCACCCCCGCCACGTTTTACCAGAGGAAGGGCTTGCAGACAGAGCTTTCTGTTAGTGACAGACTCCAAGAGATAAAACAGACCAAATGGACTTGTCTCCAGCCCATGATTTCTGGCATGGTTCACAAACCCTCCCATGAAAACCGGCTTTGCGATTCCGTCTACCTACCGCCTTCTGCTCGCTGAGAATTTTGCCTTTCTCATGGGCCTCCTCTTCGTGTCTTTGCATCAGGTTCTCCAGTGTCTCCTTGTCGGCTAGGTCTTTCTTTATTTGATTATCCAACACCTGAGGGGAAACAAAAGGAGAAGTTAGTGTCCTGAGCCCAGCGGACTAACAAGAGGTACCGAAGAAAAGCAGGAAAGGAGAGAAAAGCACTGGAGAAGCCACGCTTCCCCAACCCCAGGGCAGAGATCTATCAGCTGGGATGAGGTTAAGAAGTCAAGCGTGATCATCAAATGGCAAGTAACTGGAGGACCTGAACTAAGAATTTATTTTAAAATTAGCAGCCAAAAAGACCAGAGAGGGATAGTCAAAGTGCAGGTGGACACCAGAATGAGGGCGGTGCGGGGCGGTGGGGGGGGAATCTCTCTAGAGATCTTATGATTTGCAGCTAGTACCTAGGGGCAATTTTATAGTAGTCCATGTGCCAGCAGTTTTCAGAATGACACCTGTTCTTAATTTGTACAGAAATAATCTTGTTATCTTCAGACTGGGAGTGGAGGGATAGAAGGCTGAGGAAACCTATGTGACCAAGGAAAGCTGACATTCAGAAACAACCAGGGACAAGAGGATTCTGCCTACTGATAAAGTAGGTGGGGAGTCAATAGATTGAAGAGACAGCATAAAGTGGGGGCAAAAAAACTCTTTCCTCCGATCTTTCCTCTGATCCACCTGGGCGTAAAAAAAAAAAAGAAGTCACTGGAAAGAGAAACCTTTCCCAGGGGAAGAGAAATCATGTGTTCTCAGTGCTGAAAATGCCACTGTAAGCACCTAGTGTTCCCAAGAGGAAAAAATAAAACAGTAATGGTGTCACCATCTACCAGCTTGATCTAATGTTCTGCGAGGGACACAGAGAGCACCAGCAGTTGCCAAAACAACCCAGCGAAAATGAGAGGAAGAAAGGAAGGCGACATCATGACTTGCCAAGCCTTTGACCCTGTGTTTCTCATCACTGAGCTTCTCTGAATGACACCACATCTGATACTGGGAAGAAAGCCCAAAGAATTGGGGTCACAGATGGGAGCTGAAATCAGCCTTTCCCACATTGTCTATTGTGAAGGGCCCTTCACAGCTCATGGGGACATCGTCCCCTAAAAAGAGCCAGTGAGCAGGGAGGGGGTCTGCATGATAAAGAAAGAAAAGGACAATTTCAAAGAGGGTTTTAAACGAGAACTGACTAATGAAAAAAACAGTGAAAGTTGGCAGAAAAGAATAAGAGGTGGAGGACGGGGTCATGGGAGGTGGGATGAACCTCAAGAGGATAAGCAGCCCATTCTCTTGGATGTCAGGATGCGATTCTAAAATTACAAATAAGTAAAGAACCAAATCTGGGGTATGATCACAATTATTACCAAAATGGCCTTACAGGGGATAAAACAGGGCCACAAAGCAGAGCTGACTAAAAAGAAATGGTTTCATAAAGCCAGGAGGGAAGAAAGAAGAAAACAAATCTCTACCTAACATTCTCTAGGATCTATAAAGCCAAGTTCTTGCCACCTAGAAGGTAGCAGAGAACACATAATGCCTACACAAGGAGACTTTTGCTTATGAGGTGAAAAGCAATGAAGCCCATTTTCAGAATGACTCTGTTCAAAATAAGACCTCCCCAAGGACTTCCCTGGTGGTCCAGTGGTTAAGACTCCATGCTCCCAATGCAGGGTGCCCAGATTTGATCTCTGGTCAGGGAACTAGATCCCACATGCTGCAACTAAGAGTTTGCATGCCTCAACTTAAAAGATCCCGCACGCCACAACCAAGACCCTGTGCAGTCAAATAAATAAATAAAAATAAATATTAAATAAATAAGACCTCCATGTTGGCAGCAATGAATACCAACACAAAGAAGTATGAGCCAGAAGGGACAAGCCTTTATCAAGATGGCACACATCCTGGTTTTGATTGGGTTAAACTGGCAGGAGGATGAACAAGATGATGCACAAGAGGGAAGCAAGGAATTTGTTTGAAATCAGAGATTCCACTGTAGACATTTATATCAATTTAAGATAAAACATGCCTTTCTGACAGAAAAGTCAATATACTCACCCAAATTATAGAATGAAATTTACAAAGGTTATTTTCATCATGCAAAGGTGCCAGTGGACAATTGTAAACATTCTCATAATTTTCTGAAAGGTAGTTTATTTCAAAGATAAAAGTCTAGAAGCCAGTAAGAACTAAAACCAAAAATTGGCAGATAAAGTGGAAAATGTATGAAAGCAGGCACTCACACTAAAACTAAGGTCCATTCTAGGTTCTTTCCTTGTATTTCTTTCAATGAAAAATAACCAAAAGTAACCCCAGGGGTGAAAGAGAGGATGCCAGAAGAGTGATGGTGAGGATGCTATGTGAGTATGTATACTTGTTGTTCCCCAAAACGGGAACAGCTAACTCTTTGAGGATACCAACCAAACCAGTAATACAATCATCACAAAAATTAAGACTCCTTCAATGTCTGACTTGGAAGGGAAAATAACAGTATTTGAGATGTAATGACCAATCAATGTCTGATTCTCAAGAACATAAGACATAATTAAAGGCTTGGTCCAAAATCACAATGAAAATATGGTGTGATTTTAAAAGGAAATAGGTTGGTGGTCACTTCTGATCACCGAACTTACTACTAAAAATTGAAATAATAATGTCAATAAGTGAAATAATTTAATTCACTATTTGATATCATGGGCTGGATTACTTAAACCAGCTCTTCTACAATAAATGATTTAAATGCTAGTAGAAATGTAAATGCTAGCAGAAATTACAGACTAAAATCTAAGTGAAAGCAGAAACCCAGAGAGGTAAGAAGCACAGAAAGCTGTTTTGAACTTGAGGCATTTGCTGAAACAAACTTGAGCTTCATTTTTAATTGCCCCAAAGGGTAAGGAAATAGAGAAGTCAAAGCCCAGGGATGTCCCCAAAGTGGGCACACATTTTCATTTAAGGTCTCAAAGAATCCCCATTACTAATTTTCCAAGGAAAATGAGCAGCTAACCAGGCACACAAAAAGACAGACACCACAAAAAAGAACCAGGACAAACAGCAGCAGAAACAGACCTTCAGATCCTTCGGATACTGGAATCATCAGCTGTAGATGGAAAAAGAACTATGCTAATGAGTTTAAAGAAGCAGAAGATAAGCTTCAAATGAATGCAGGGAATTTCTTGTCTTAAACAATCTAGTAAACTTGGGAAAGAACCAAACAGACTGACAAGAAACCAATAAACACACTAACTGAAATTTAAAACTCAATGGATGGGTTTAGCAGCAGATTAGACAGGGAAGGATGAGTACACTGGAAAATCAATTAGAGCTTAACCAGAATGCAGCACCAAAAGACAAGGGATAACCTAACACACTCCCAATCAAATCCCCATAAGGGAAGGAAAGAGAAGAGGAAGAGGCAATATTTGAGACATAATGACCAATAATTTTCCGGAATTTTTTTTTAATATAATCCAAAGTCAAGTATATCTCAAGAAGGATAAACAAATAACTCCACATCTGTCTAGATGTAAAGTTTTATCACAGTAAAACTTCAGAAAATTAAAGACAAAACAAAGTTTTAAAAGAAAAAAGAAAGACTGCTTTCAAAGAAAGCAACAGTTAGACTGACAGTTGACTGTCAACTGCAATAATAAAAGCCAAACACATCAATGAAATGATATTTTCAAAAAGTATCATAAGAAATAACTGCCAACCTAGAAATCTATGCCCTGTCAAAACATCTTTCAAGAACTAGGAAGAAACAGAGACATTTTCAGACACACAAAACATAGAGGCTGGCACCAGCATTATCTCCACTAAAGAAAGTCCTCAAGGATACACTTTATATAAAAGACAAAGATCTAGGTCTAAGATGCAAGAAGGAAATTAAAAGCCAAGAAATGATGAATCTGTCTAAATCTAAATTATCATGGACTGAGTAACAGTGGGTCAAAAAATATTTTAAAAATTTATTATTTTTATATTTTTAAGATTTATATTTTAAAGATATTATTTTAAAATATTTTAAATATTTTAATATATTAAAGATATCTTTAAATACTTAAAGATACACAATGACCAAATTTTTTGAAATAAACTATTTTTGAACTTCTGATATCCAACCCCCTCCACGGATAAAACCCCCCATCATGGCCTGAGGACAGCATTTACCCCAGACAGTCCTTTGTTCTAGCAAGAAGTGGCCCAAAGCACCTGGGAAGAGAGAGGAGCTATGTGGTGCTGTAGGAGGAAGGGGAGAGAAAACCAGAAAGTGTCCTTACTTTAATTTTTTCTTCATAGTGCTGTTCTTTCTGTTTCAGGTGCACCTCCAGATGCTGGGCTGAGACCTGGGCTTCCCTGTGCTTCTCCTCCAGCTCCTAGACAAAAAAGAGGAGATGGTCAGGTGTGTGAAGCAAGGACAGAGACAAGGCATGTCAGACATTCAGGGGAAACACGGCTTTGGCACAGGCACCAGAGACAACAGGCATGTGTTTCCTCACAACTAGCCCCTAAGGCTCTTGAGAAGGAAACCACCACTGAGCCTTGGCCCTGGGATTTCCAAATCCAAGTATTCACATATACACACACAGCTGGTGGGCTGGGATCAGAAATCAATCAGTGTGACAGGTCAAAGGCAGCTCTTCATCTCTGCTTAGAGAAATGAGAGTAACAAGACAACACAATTTCAAAATTCCATACAGTGCAAAGCCCCTGACCACTACCTTGAGCCTCAGGTAATTTTTGCTCCAATGACAGCTTTAAATAAGATTGCACAGGAACCCTAGCTAAGAAGGAAAACTAATATGACAATTCAAACACTTTGAGTTTTGAATGATAATTTTAACTGACTGATAATATGGAGAATGTGACTATTTAGAGATGTTCATATGATATCATGTGTTGATGATGTAACACTAATGGGAAGAAGGCAGAACATAAAATTGACTAAAAATGACATAAATATGTGTACACATATATGGAAGATAGGAAGAGAATTTGGAGTAATATAAATAGCTCAAATGTAAAGTCCTCTTTATTCTCTTATTAAGATTTCTGCTTTTAAACAAAATTCATTTGGAAATTATACCAATTCATTTGCAACATCTTATAAACTGATCATATAAAAGGCAGAATTCAACTTACTGAAATAGTCTCTAAATGAAACTATCTGCATCTACATTAATTCTTATGAATATGGACCCATTAGTTAATTACTAATATCAAAAGTCATTACTCCAAGTTCTCATCTCTTCACACTACCTTGAAGATTTGCTTTGAAATGGAAATAATTATGAGAATTTGAAGAATGAAGAAATTATACAGGATATGGCCATAAAATGGAGGAAAAAACACTTTCAGATTCACACACACATGAAATGGTACTGATTAAGCTTTTGAAATTCTGAAGTCTGCAAGCACTGACTTTGACTTGGGGGCCAGTAAAGTATTCAATGTTAAAACCAGGTGCACAAGATCTATTGCAATCTAACAGATGTCATCTTGAAAAGTTGAATGTAAATAGGATGTTAAGTAATAAAAACATACTTTAAGGGCTTTAGGTATATTAAAGGATCCCCAGAAATGAGGTCTTTTTATTAAGGCAAAAGACTCTGCTATAATGAGAACCCCAATTATCTGTTTTGAAAGTTCTTATCAGAATAGCAAATACTTTAATGCAAATGACATTTGAGATGACTTTCCAAGCATCATCATTCTGTAACAGTATTAAGGACCCCTCTTTGCTCCTGTTCCAGATACTTTATTTACAGCCTAAGCACCAGGTTCTTGAACAAAAGATACTTTCTGATAAATGAAGTCACGACCACAAAGGTACTAGGGTAGGTTATAAGACACACTTGGAAAAAGAAATCTGCTACTTTTCCTTTACATTAGAAATCACTTGATAATTGTCTCAGTTTCAGTCCTCCTAAAATGGCACAGGAATGAAAATCAAACTGAAAACAGGCTGAAAACTCAGACATCTGAGATTCACAACATTGAGACCAAATTTCTGATCCATGTATGAATGGGACTTTGCAACATATAATCCAGGAATGCAGAACTCTACACTCCGACGTTTTAATTGCAAATGAACCTTTGGAAAAGCAGACATTCTAAAATCTGACTTCTTGGCATTTAGGCATTTTTTGTTGTTGTTGTCATTTTTTAAAACGTTATCTTTTCTACATGTGTTGGATCAGACTCTTCTGTCCTGTTATGCAAACACTGCTGTTCGCTGCTCTGTTTCCAGCTCCCAGAATAGTGCCTGGCACATAGTAGAAGCTCATTAAATATTTGTTGAATGAATGAATGAACACATCACCATTAAACAGAGAAACACTTTGCAACCACAAGAGACTTAACCACGTCGTTCGCACCAAGCAAGAGGTGGCAGTGGTGGAATCTCGGTGGGAATTCACTTGACTCACGGTAAAATTCACACACTGGACAATCGCCAAGAGAAACTTGGATGACGGAACGAGAGAACAGAGAGTAGACTAACAGTCACATCTGCCTTTGTGTGTAGACGGATCTATGAAGACTGTGTGTCAAAGCAAAGCAACTTAACTGATTTCTCTTTTCATCTATTTGTTCAAGAATACCCATATGCTCATGAATACAGACAGAGATGTAAAGATTTGAAACGTTGGGTTTTTATTGGTTTTTGTTTGGTATTTAGTATAGGCCTATAAGTCGGTCATTCTGGAGTTCATATAGTTGCTGGTGACTCATTTCCCAGAAGTGATGCAGAGAGAGAGAGCCAGAGAGAGGGAGGCGGGAAGCACCCTGCTTACCACCTTGCCTTTTTATGGTGGAGAGGAAGGTCGACTACTCCAGAGTCTCTCCCAGGGGAAGGGAAGGAAGGGGCTATGAACAGACTCCCCAAAGTGGCATCAAATTCTTGATTTGGGCACTGAACTTCAAGGAGAGTCCTTTAAAGGTTCACCTGCCTTCCACCCTGGCAGGAGCAAAACTTCCAACACGTTGGCAAGTACCACCCAAGCCTTCCTTGATCAAGTTAATTTGATCAGAGCCAAAAACAGAATCACTGTGATTACAAACCTAAAAAAAAAAGATCTGCTACATCTAAGGAAAGTGAAAATAATAATAAGAATAATAACCAACTGTAGCAGAGAAAGTGAGTGGGTGAACATGGATCTATGACAAATACTACTTGGAGAAAAACAATTCTGCGTGACTAACTTCTTTCCTCTGCAAAAGCGAGGATCTGAGCGTTAGTCTTAAAGCCCTGAACCCCTACCCCCCCTTTTTTAAAATGAGCATTTGCAATGTTAACAGCCATACAAAACTCTGCTGATAGGAGCACGTAAATCCTCCTGTAGAAATGTATTGGAGATGACAGCGTGTGCACGTTCGTATTTCTAAAGGTCAGGCAGTAGCAAACAGAGCGAAAAAAAAACCATACTGATGGATCTGTTACCAGTGCTGAAAAGTCCAACCTGTAAGGTTACTCATGCTAGTCTCTGATGTGTCATCCGCTAAGACCACTTCCTCTTAATTCACCTGCTCGGCGACAACCTCCCCTTTGACGGTGGTTGGTTCTTCTTTTGACCCCCTTCCCTCTGTAACCTGTTATCTTTGAACTTGCCAACTTTGGTTCCTGCTCACCAGAATTTTATCAGCCATCTGCTGGATCTGTTGGGACTTTGTCTGGATGTCATCCTTCAGTCTGTTTTCTCTACGCTCCATGGTCTCTAGCCTCTTTACCTTGTTCTCCAGAGAGTGGCGGCGTTCCTGTAGATCGTGAATCAATCAGAGAGTTTTAATGGGGTGACGGCTGCGGGCGCAACGCCTGCGCCAAGGGAGGGGGCCCTCGGGAAGCGGACACTCGCAGCAGGAAAAGAGAGGTCTCAGGCACCCAGAGCCACGGCGAGGAAGACACGGTTCTGGACTCCGAGTAGTACTCGCTTGTGTAGGTTACAAGAGTGCATTCATTCATTCAAATATTTACCAAGCACCTACTATCTGCAAGGTAGCATACTAGGTACCTCGGAAAATACCCAGAGGAAGTCGACAGAATGCCTGCCCTTGGAAGAGGTAAGAGAAAGACAAGTAAACATAAAATGGGTGAAGAGTGGCAGAGCCATGAAGCACACAGGTATGGGGCGCTGCAGGAGGTTGCAGGCAGGAAAGAGGGCTTTGAACTGAGCAGGTGAGGGGAGGAGTCAACGAGATGTGCGCTGTGGAGGGGGCCGGTGCATCAGACTGGAGGGGAGAGGGCCAGAGGGGAGAGGCGAGGCCTTTCAAATAAAGACGGGCGCAGCAGCAACAGCACAAGGGTGGCCAGCTTAGGCCCCAGGGAGAGCACAGAGGGGCTGCTGCATAGGGTGAGTCTGGAGGGAGCAGGAGAACACGGGGAGGGGAGCATGTGCAGGTCAAATGGCTGATAGTCTCATGTATCTAAGACACAGGGAAGCATTAACAGGTTTGGGATGGTACAAGGGGTGGTGATGAGCCTGGAGCTGGAGGTCCACAAGTCTGACATTTCTGAGCTAGCTGGGAGGAAAGTGAGACTGAAAGCAGAAAGCCAAGAAATGACGACATTTGCTCAGCCAGGAGGAAGAGCACCCGCGCCTGCACTACGAGGAGGCCGCAGAGAAGGCCAGCGGGAGGCAGACACTGGGAGCGGACCACGTGGGTCCACTGGCAGGGCTGAAGAATCTGTGGAATGGCAGCGCCCAGGGAGAAGCAGATGATGTCAAGGTTCTAAGCCTGGAGTTACCGCAAGGATGACAATGGCCCTGACCGGCATGAGGAGGTTGAAAAGATGACCCAGCTTGTTGGGGAAGATAGTGAGTTCATTCTAGGTTAGAGGCACTGTCCAGACACCCAGGCAAGATGTCAGGGTAGCAGTGGGAAATACTGCCTGGATTGTGGGTGAGGGTGGCCCCAGAGAGTCGTGGACAAGTAGGTCACCACCAGCACAGTGATAGGGAGAAGCAGAAAGCTCAGGAAAGGGGGATGGTTAAGTCAACTATGGCACAGCTGTTCCACGGAACCCTTCCCAGGCATGGGGGAAGCTGGAGGGGAGTAAGGGGAAACGTCCCTTCTGATTCTAGATTCTTTAGTTCTGTGCTTTTTTCTTTTTTTTAACAATGAGAAGACACTCATGTGTTTCCTGCATAATTATATAATTGGTTTCAACAACAACAACAACAACAAAGAATTGAAGGGAGAGAAGAGGCCCCAAAATACAGATCTGGGAGTTATCGACACACACAGGTCACAGGTGAAGCCTTGAAATTTACTATGTTATTATCACTGCTGGGAGGAAAAGTCAAGGAAAAGCAAGGATACGGAGGGAAGGAAGAGAAGACCTCAGGGACGGCGTCACAGTTCACCTAGATAAACATGAGTCCACCCACACAAGTGAGTGGGTCAGAGGAAAACAAACAGGAAGGAAAGGTTTTTATCAAAACATCTTTCGCCTCGCAGCTTCTGTGACAAACGCTTCTCCCCTTTGGGGAAAACGTCCCCAAGCCTCTCGGGTTCAGAGGAATGGGCAGAAAGGAAAAGTGGTTTGAACAAAGGCGAGCAGAGAGAAGGTGGTGCCTGCATTTCGTCCCCACACAGCCAGAGGCCAGGCGCTGCGGGACCCGGGGCTGGAGGTCCCCTGCTCACCTCGGCCTCCACCAGCTTCTTCTTGATGCCCTCGGAGGAGTCCTCGCGGTTGTGCAGCTTCTCCAGCTCACGCTCGGCCCGCTCTTTCGCCTGACGGATGTTCTGTAGCAGCTCGGTAGCCTCTGTGCTGGCTTTCACGGCCTGAAAGGAGAAGAAACGGGGCGGGGGGGGGGGGGGGGGGGGGGAGACAGGTGAGATGGCCCAGTTTAGACACAGAAAAATATGAGGATCATCTTCTAAACAGGGGGAAAAAAAAATCAGGTCACACTGAATGGATATTTTTATCCATTCCTCAAAAAACAAACAAACTTTTCATTTTATTCTGTATTTCATCCATTCTAAGGTGCACTTATATTTTTTAACATCACTAAATTTGGAATAATGCAGCCTACAATTAAAACTGTTTTTTCTTTTATTTTTATTTCCTGGGGTACAGAAGATAATGGAGTACTGGACAAACTTTAGCATCTTTGATTCAATATTTTGGAATAAATGCAAACAAAAGGTCTTGGATTTATCTGCCCAAGTATTAATGTATTTTCCTCAGAGCATTAATTTTCTCTTTATTTAATCATCTCACTTGCCAACTTCTTTATGGGGAATCTCTACTATTATGTATTATGTATGTATATGTATATGTATTATGTATGTATGTATTATGTATGTGTACGTATTATGTATGTATATGTATATGTGTGTATATGTATTAACAATACAACATAAAAGCTGTAATTTAAACCTTTAATAGTAAGAAATACCTATCAGAGGGCACAACCACCATAGCGTTTGTAGTGACTCAAAATTCATGTTAGGGAAGTCTTTTTTTTTTTTTTAATTAACCTTTTGAAGTTAATTTTTTATTTTTTATACTGCAGCTCTTCAAGTATCACGATAAAGATCAAACTGTAAACCACCAACCTCACATTCATTCACTTTAAATTATCATTTGAAGAAGTGAAAATGGCAAGGAAACTCTAGCTTGGAGACCTGCATGCTGGCTAGTGTGGGAGCTGCTCCCCACAGGTGCCCAGTGAGCACTGGGAATGCGGCTGGTGTGACTAGGAAATCAATTTTAAAGTTTACTAAAGTTTAATTCATTTAAAAACTGAAGCAGTATAAATGTTTTAATATCAATACATGCTGTGATGACATTTTGTGTATATTGCATTATGAAACTGTATCATTCAAAGAGTTTTCACCTTTTTATAATATGGCCACTAGAAAACTTAAAATTACATCTGTGGCTGACATGTATAGGTTGCTCCCCTCTTCTACAAGGGGGGCAGAGTCCTAGAAGACATGAGTCCTCACACAAACATCTAGCTGAGACAGGCTTTCAGAAGTGAGCTCAAGAATAGGCAGGAAGGAGTCAGATGAACGGGTACAGAAAAAGTGGATCATCCCAGCTATGGAATACCATGAAGCCTCTGAAAAGGAGATCCTGCCACATGCTGCAACACAGACGAACCTCCAGGACACTGTGCTGAGTGAAAAGAGCCAGTCACAAAAAGACAAATACTGTATGAGTCCACCCACGGGAAGTGTCTAAAGCAGTCAGAAGCATACAAGCAAAGTAGATTAGCAGAGGCAAATTATGATATAGAGTGATATATATCATATATATATAGGATGGATAAACAAGGTCCTACTGAATAGCAGAGGGAACTATATTCAGTATTTTATAATACGCCATAAAGGAAAAAGAATATAAAAAGAATGTGCATATGTATATAACTGAATCACTCCACTGTGCAGTATAGTGACAAAACATTGTAAATCAACTATATTTCAATAAAATAAACTGACAGGAAGGGAGGGAAGGAAGGAAGGAAGGGGTTGCCAAGGATGGGCATTCACTAAAGGGGTGGTTAGCATCTCACAGATAGTTTAAGTTTTGCGAGACAAAAAAGTTCTCGTGATTTGATGTACAATGGAAATACATCTAACAGTAAGGAACTGGACACTCAAAATGATTACAATGGTAAAGTCAATGTTATATGTTTTCAATAACACAACTTTACAAAGGAGGAGGAAGAAAATGAAAGGGCTCTTTTAAACACATTCACAAACCTTCCTGAAGGCCATATTCATTCTGGCCCTTTCTTTAGCGTTTCCCCTGTTCACCCAAAGGCAGGGCCATTAGCACTCACTGTGTCAGAAGCCATAAACCACACCCGCCCTCCTCCCCAACCACTCAGGACTCCTGGCTCCTCCAGGCTCCCGGTGGACAGGAAGGCTGCCAACGGTCTCTGATGGAAAGCCGTCTGGGTCATGAACGAGATGTGAACCCGGTACCCTGAAGGAAGAGGAGCCAGCCTCTTGGGATTTGTCATAGTACAATTTGAACTTTGAACTGACAGTCTCACAGAGCTTGGTGTCTGGTTTGTTTGTTTGTTTGTTTGTTTAAACAAATACAGTTTGACAGGTCCCAAAAGGAGAAAGTATATTCAGAACTCTGATATTTTCAGATAATAGCTCACCACCCCATTTCATCTCCCTCAGTGACGGGTTACTAATTCTCTTTCTTTGATATTTCACCCTCTAGGATAAGGCAAGAAAAAGTACTCGGAAATGGGAGGTAAGTTCCCCAAAATATCCCCTTGGGCTTACCTTTTCTAGCTTCTCTTGGAGCTCCTGAATTTTGAGCTGCTGCTCAGCATTGATCTATAATCAAAATCCCAGGAAATAAAACAAAAGGCACATTGGTATTAAGGTCTTGCTACATTTACTACAGGCCTATTTTCTTGAGGTTTCTGTGGGGGTCTTATTGTTTTCCAGTACCTACTGATGGAGAAGAACAGTAGCCTATCAGAGAAGCCTTTGAATGTCTCAGTATAAACCTCCATGTGCACCGTTACTCTAGAACCAGCGACACACATACAGATGGCAAAAAAGGGAACTGAAATCGCCTGTACTTTAAAACAGTAGATTTTCCCATCTGTTTTACTGAGTATCTGGGTTTGTATGTTACTGTGAGAGGGCATGACAAAAAAAAAAAAAGACGTGTCTTCTCCCCCTTTTAGAACCATAACTGAAACTAAACCTGGTCATCCAGAGACTGATCATCAAAATAAACCCAGAAGAGAGTTCTTTATTCACTGCAAATATATTCTTAACCAACGAAAGGCCACGGAGAGCAACATTTAAGAGACTGCATGTGTGCATGCTAAGTCGCTTCAGTTTTGTCAGACTCTTTGCAACCCTAGGGACTGTGGTCCACCAGGCTCCTCTGTCCATGAGATTCTCCAGGCAGAAATACTGGAGTGGGTTGCCATGCCCTCTTCAGGGGATCTTCCCGACTTAGGGATCCAACCCTTGTCTCTTGTACCTCTAAATTGGCAGGCGGGCTCTTTATCACTAGTGCCACCTGGAAAGCCCATTTAAGAGACCATCTGCCCCAAATCCCAATACCAATAATGGAAAATACCTTCTCCAGTTTGGCATATTCTCCCACTTCAGGCTTCCCTTGATCTTTAGCCTGTAATTTAAAAGATATAACATATTGGGAACTCTCAAGAACCTAAAAATCTTAAAGACAACACTATAGGCTGTACTTTCTTGGTCTCTGTGGCCAAAACAATTAGGACGATAATAAAAAATTTAGTTACCTTCTCTAATCAACACCAGAACTCTGTATGGCACCCCATGGCTTCTCAAATGTACTTATTAAGCTAGGATCCCCTTTATTATTGCTAAGATCATCCAGGATTCTATCCCCAAAACTCCCTCCCAGAGGGGAGCTTGCTACCTTCATCAGTTTATGCTGACATTCTGTTGCTTTCCGCTTAAACTCTTCAGCAGCCAGCCGAGACTCTCTGAGCTCTGATTCATAGAGGTCACTCCGCCTTCTCGCCGAAACCAGGTCCTCTTCCAACTGATTCATCATCAACCTCATTTCTTCCACTTGAGCCTGGTACTCCTAAACAGTAGGCAACCAAAATAAGGTGGACTTTAGAACTCCTGAAAGGAAAGACGGGAAATGAAGGTGAAAAACCACAGAGAGAAGACACAGTGAAGAGATATAAGCAGAAAATGGACCCAGAGAAAAGGTGAAAGATGCGGATGAAGGTGAGGTGTGCAGAGAGTGGGTAGAGAGAAAAGAATATTAAATCTTTAAACTGTTTTCATGTAGATCATGTAGCACTAGTAACACCATTTGGAACACATGTGATTATATACAGTTAGATCCTTTGAGCAAATAATACCGTACAAGAAGTGCAGAACCTTAAGGCCTTTGTAACACCAGAGAGCAGCAAGGGATGTACTTTAAACAACCATGATAATCTGCTTACGCAAAGCTTTCCCCCAAGGGTAATCATTTATATAGATTTGTCCTTTAGAAGTCACATGTGCCTAACATAATTAAATATGGTACCTAGTTTTAAAATTAACCTTTCAGATGACACAAGGGGGTAATTGGAAATCTCAATGGAGAGAATCTTGGAAGGTAAAACTCATCATGTCAGTTTCTCACCATTAATTTTTCTGGGCCCCAAACTGCATGAAGAACTTAACAGTGCTCTTGAGATGCAAGTCACCCTGAAATTTGGAAGAGTCAGGAAACACTGACTCTGTCAAAGTAACTTGTGAGAAAGACTCCAAGGAAAGAATTACCTTGCTCCCTCGAGCAGAAGCCTTTAAGTAATCCCAACAGCCCAACCTTTCTCAAAGTGAATGTCTAAAATCAGAACATCAAATGACCCAATCAAAAAATGGGCCAAAGAACTCAACAGACATTTCTCCAAGGAAGACATACGGATGGCAAAAAAACACATGAAAAGATGCTCAACATCACTCATTATCAGAGAAATGCAAATCAAAACCACAATGAGGTACCATTATACACCAGTCAGGATGGCTGCTATCCAAAAGTCTACAAGCAATAAATGCTGGAGAGGGTGTGGAGAAAAGGGAACCCTCTTACACTGTTGGTGGGAATGCAAATTAGTACAGCCACTATGGAAAACAGTGTGGAGATTCCTTAAAAAGCTGGAAATAGATCTGCCATATGACCCAGCAATACCACTTCTAGGCATACACACTGAGGAAACCAGATCCGAAAGAGACACGTGCACCCCAATGTTCATCGCAGCACTGTTTATAATAGCCAGGTCATGGAAGCAACCTAGATGCCCATCAGCAGACGAATGGATGAGGAAGCTGTGGTACATATACACCATGGAATATTACTCAGCCATTAAAAAGAATTCATTTGAATCAGTTCTAATGAGATGGGTGAAACTGGAACCCATTATACAGAGCGAAGTAAGCCAGAAAGATAAAGACCATTACAGTATCCTAACACATATATATGGAATCTAGAAAGATGGTAACGATAACCTTATATGCAAAAAAAGAAAAAAGAGACTCAGATGTATAGAACAGACTTGTGGACTCTGGGGGAGAAGGCGAGGGCGGGATGTTTCAAGAGAACAGTATCGAAACATGTATATCTAGGGTGAAACAGATCACCAGCCCAGGTTGGATGCATGAGACAGGTGCTCAGGCCTGGTGCACTGGGAAGACCCAGAGGGATGGGGTGGAGAGGGAGGTGGGAGGGGGGACCGGGATGGGGAATACATGTAAATCCATGGCTAATTCATTTCAATGTATGACAAAAACCACTGCAATGTTGTAAAGTAATTAGCCTCCAACAAATAAAAATAAATTAAAAAATAAAATAAAATAAAAATAAAAAAGATGATGCCATGAAAAAAAAATAAATAAATAAAATAAAATCAGAACATCTGCATTGAGGTCTTCCAAAAGTGATTTACCATGAGAAATAAACAGTGGTTTTGAAAACTTTGGGGCAGAGAACGAAAATATTCTCTGTTGGCAAAAGCAAAGACTATACATGTAAGGTTTATGAATGAGCAAAATTTATCCAATCCAAGGTGGTGGGGGTGGAGGATATAAAATGAAAAGAATAAAGAATTGAACTAAGACTGTCGCTGACCTTCACAACATCTAGTAATCATCTCTAAGACCTGTTCTTCCAAGAAATAACTGAAGAGAGATCCACTGAGCAAGGATATGTTTTTAACCAATAAAATGCTATTTTTCCCCCAGTAACAGTACAGCTTCATCCCACTATAATAGGCAATCCCCATGTGCACACTAAAGCAAAGATGACATCCTTATGAAAATGGGTAGTTTTCATGTAAACACATCTGTGTTAGTGGTACAGAGGAAAGCAGGGAAAAAAGGGGGGAGGGCACAAAACAGAACACTAAAAGCATACAGTCATCCCTCGGTATACACAGGGGGTTGGTTCCAGGACCAAATTCGACCTGAGGTTGGTTGATCCATGCATACAGAAACTGTGGATACAGAGGGCCAGCTGCATTGTTACTGAGGGTCAATTCTACAAGCCATGGGGCACCAGGTTTTCTATACGAGGCTCATTAAGTGGGTGGTGCTGGGTTACATAACCAAAGGTCTTTATAAACTACTCAACGATTATCTGAATTCACAGAACAGAACACAAGTCAAAGATGTGAGACGGCACACCCTCTGCTTGGGGTTTTTCTAGCCCCCTCGGCCAGGGCTGTGTGATGACTTATTCTGACTTGCACAGCTCTGGTATTATTAAGCCTTCCTGGACCCCTTCCTCTGTTAAAAAAAATTATATATATATAAAATATATAAAGATAAAAACATTATCTATGAAAACACTTTCTTTTACCTAAAAAATCAATTTCTTTTCTCCTGATTTTAAAAATCCAAAGTACCATCGGAGCTGCTCACAAGCTCAACACAAACTGTGGAGGAAGCGGACCGGTGGGAGTCAGTCTTGGCCATCTTCTATCCCTAGTTCCCTTGTCTGACTTAAACTTTCAGCAAAAAGGAAATGTGGTCTTTGTGTTTTGTCAGGAGCAAGGACGGAGCACTGTTCCAACACCCCCCACCCCCTGCCCTAAACATCTCTCTGTCCAGAGCTGTCAGCGCCCAAGGGGAGGAAGGCATGAATCAGGCAACACCTCTGTCAGCAATCTGAGCTCCCAGGGCACCCAGCCTGCTACAGACTTCAAAAAGGATTCTACTTCATTTATTGAGCCACTGTTATTCTGCCAGCTACTTCAAGGAAATCCTATACATCCAACAGCTGACCAAATCCCTGTTTCAAGAAAAATCTCAGAGATGATGATCAAGTCTGTTTCCAAGGACAGCTGAGAGAGAGCTGTTCGAATCTCAGCGTGGGCTCAGTGCTGGTCATAGTTGAACAGGATCAGAATGCGGAAATGTGGACAACTTTTGAGTCATGCCTCAAGTCACTCTTTGGAATGGAACTTTACAATTTTGATTGAATAGGATCAATCTGAAGTCCTAAAACTCAAATGCCTTCTATGTTACCCAAATTTCTGACTCTCTTTCCAAGGAGGGGGGTTGGTGGAACCAGCAATTGCTAGTGATGGAGCGTGAATCTATCATGTGAGGTATCTAGGTGTTTTCTAAATTCTTTAAATTTTTGGCTGTGCCTCGTGGCACACAGGATCTTAGCTCCCTGACCAGGGATTGAACCTGTGCCCCTTGCAGTAGAAGTACAGGTTCTAGTCACTGGACCACCAGGAAAGTCCCTAGGTGTTTTATTTTAAACCAAATCCAAATACTCCACTGGGGTTAGCTAAGTTGTTGATCAGTTGCTAAGTCATGTCTGACTCTTTGCAACCCCATGGACTGCAGCATGCCAGGCTTCCCTGTCCTTCACTATCTCTAGGAGTTTGCTCAGACTCAAGTCCACTGAGACGGTGATGCCATCCAACCATCTCTGTCCTCTGCCACCCCCTTCTCTTTTTTACCTTCAGTCTTTTCCAACATCAGGGTCTTTTCCAATGAGTCAGCTCTTCACAACCAGTGGCCAAAGTACTGAAGCTTCAACTTTAGCATCAGTCCTTCCTATGAATATTCAGTATTGATCTTTTTTAGGATTGACTGGTTTGATTTCCTTGCAGTCCAAGGGACTCTCTCAACAGTCTTCTCCAGCACCACAATTCAAAAGCATCAATTAATTCCTCAGCACTCAGCCTTCTTTATGATCCAATTCTCACATCCATACACGACTACTGGAAAAACCATAGCTTTGACTATATGTACCTTTGTCGGCAAAGTGATGTCTCTGCTTTTTAAAGCACTGTCTAGGTTTGTCATAATTTTCCTTCCAAGAAGCAAGCATCTTTTAATTTCATGGCTGCAGTCACTGTTGCAGTCATTCTGGAGCTCAAGAATATAAAATCTGTCACTGCTCCCACTTAATTGTCTACTATTGGCCATAAAGTGATGGGACCAGGTGCCATGATCTTAGTTTTTATAAATGATGAGTTTCAAGCCAGCTTTTTCACTCTCCTCTTACAACCACATCAAGAGGCTCTTTAGTTCCTCTTCACTTTCTGCCATAAGGGTGGTGTCATCTTCATATCTGAGGTTGTTGATATTTCTCCCGGCAATCTGGAATCCAGCTTGTGATTCATCCAGCCCGGCATTTCACATGATGTACTCTGCATACAAGGTAAAGAAGCAGGGTGATGATATGCGGCCTTATCATACTCCTTTTCATTTTGATCCAGTCCACTGTTCCATGTCCGGGTCTACTTGTTACTTCTTGACCCACATACAGGTTCCTCAGGAAACAGTAGGTGGTCTGGTAGTCTCAGCTCTTTAAGAATTTTCCACAGTTTATTGTGATCCACAAAGATTTTAGCGTAGTCAATGAAGCAGAAGTAGATGTTTTTCTGGAATTCCCTTGCTTTCTCTATGATCTAACAAATGTTGGCCAATTGATCTCTGGTTCCTCTGCCTTTTCTAAACCCAGAATGTACATTTGGAAGTCCTTGGTTCACGTACTGCTGAAGTCTAGCTTGAAGGATTTTGAGTACTACCCTTCTAGTATGTGAAATAATTGCAATTGTAGGGTAGTTTGAACATTCTTAAATAGCTAAGTAGAAGCAACACTTAAAATAAACAAACAGAGGTATAGAAATTGGCTTTGAGAGGAAGAGAGAAAAATAAATGGCAAATCTGGGAGGAATCAGCGGGCTGCAAACCAAATACTAGGAGTTTACTTAAAGTAGTATATGTTTCTCCTGGACTGCAAACATTGCACTCTCACCAAGCTTACTGAGGGTCATTTTTTTAGTAAGTCCTCCTTCCGATGAAAAATAAAATCTGAAACGAAGAAGCTTTCTTCCCCCAAAATGGAACACTTAGCAGTCATTAAATCTAAAACTCCACAAGGATGCCAACTGTGATATGAATCACAAAGGACATTTCTTTGAACTCAAGCACCAGCATATACCTTTTCAAAATGTCCTGAAAATTCTGTTTCTATTTAATTTCAGGGACACCAGCTGCTCCCTCTGGTGGCCAAGCACAGCTTTCATTTCCCCAGGATACCACCAAAAGCAAATTTCCAAACACATTGAACTAATGGGAGAAAAAGAATCCTACTTCTTGAAACTTTTAGGAGGAAAAATGGTGTGAACAAAAGGGCAACGAGTCAACTGTTGAAGTGGATTTTTCCAAGCTGCAGGCACAACCTTCAAGATCTCTAAGTTAGTACTGTTCAGAAACCTGATGACTGGGTTGCACCATTTCCTAGGCACCGTTATTTAGAACATTTTTATCAAGCAGGAGGATCTTAACCAATGATTTAAAAAATACTAAGGTGATAATGAGATGATGCAAAAAAAAAAAAAAACCAAAACAGTAATTCTTTCTTTAAACAACAGTTAATGAATCAAATTATTTGCAAGAGTTTCTTGCATTAGCAACCACCCAGATGGCTAAGTGTGCACTACCCAGAGACAAAAATGTTCATTTCCATCACTGTTTCCATTAGATTTTCTGAAGTGAATGAGAGTTGCCTGGCAGCTGATAATTCAGCTCTCCAATTGCTCACTGCATTCTCTTCATTAAAGTTTCTATTTACGGTTTCTTCAAAGGACAAAAAAAAAAAATCCATGCTAAAAAGGAAACAATGAAGTAAAATAGAAATGAACCATCTAGAAAGAAAACTGTTTTAGAAAAGGAAAGGGGAAAAAAAAAAAAGAGAGTAGGCTTTTTAAAGGCCTGGATTTTCTTTTCTGAACACGGAGGGGAGGGCTTTATGTAGTCGGGATTTGCTGTGTTAACTGTGACGCGGCCTTAATGGCTCAAACACCCCTCCTGGGATACATCTTTAGATAAGCAAAACTATGAATTATCCTGGCTTCTCTCAAAAACATAAAGTGCATCTAAAAAGCTATGAAAACATCTTTAAAAATTATTTCAATGGTCTTAAAAGCAGAAGTTGGCACTCTTTCAGTAGAAAGTTAGATGGGAAGCAATTTCAGCTTTGCAGGCCATGTGGTCTCTTGTCACAGCTACTCACCTCTGCCAGTGAAGCATGATCAGCAGCCACAGACAGTACCTAAGCGAATGGGTGTGTCTGTGTTCCAATGAAACTTTGTCTAAACATTGAAATCTGAACTGCATATACTTTTCACACATCATGAACTATTCTTTTGAATTCCTCCCCCAACTATTTAAAAATGCAAAAATCATTCTCAGCTTGTGGTCATGGAAAACAGGTTGGTTGGCCAGATTCATCCCCACAGGCTACAGTCTGCCCACCACCACTGCTTTAAACCTACACCTTTGATGGAAAAAAGAGTAGTCATTGTGGGGTCCAGACTTCAAAAGGAGCTAGAACATTTATATAAACCATGTGGAATCTAAAAAAGTTCCATTTGGAATCTGAAAGTTCCAAATGACCTACATACCTCTTTCTCCCCCTCCTCCCCCCCTTTCTCTGTCCCTCAAACATGCCTCCCCTGAAATGAGAGGTCTGAGCTGGTGCCCTGCTCCTGGGTAGCAAGTCATACCTGCTCTTTGATTTCCTGGAGCTTCCGGCTCTGCTCTCTGATATCATGGAGGAGCTGCAGTGCTTTGTCGTCCTCTTGGGACACCTCCATCCGTGCTTGCTCCAAACTTCGCTTTAAGCTCTGCGGAAAGCAAAAATTTTTAATAGGGATGCCCTGTGGATCCTGCTCTAGTTGAAAGACTCATTAAGGGAGCTGCAGGCTGCTTCGCAGACACCAAGACGGTTTCGGGTGACGGACCCACGACGACAGCTTCCAGTGGGTTGTTGAATTCCAAGTTTCATCCTGCAAAATCCCCTGGTTCAAGAAATCATCATCTCAAACACCTTGGGACCTCATGGATCCAGCCTGAAAGTGCAGCCACCTGTCTCCTACCTGGCCTAGCAGATACTTACTTGTATGTTCAGGACTAAAAACTAGTAAGATCCCTTAGCCATGAAACCACCACTGGGGTGGATACAAAATCTCTTCTGGAATATCAGTGATTCGAGGACTATCAAGTATATCACCCTTTTTCAAAGTAGCAATGACTTCATTCTCTGCCCAGGTATCATTTAGGACTCCAAGCAATCTATTTCCACCTCCTGGCTCATGTTTCCTGGACACCTTTCATCCATAAGGTTCCCTCAATGCTTCAGTAGCACTGAAATATATATCTGAAATACATAGCTGAATAACTTCACCCACCACTGAAAGGCAGCCAAATCTGGAATGGAAACATAGCAGTTATTCTTAATCAGCCACGTTCTATAGATTTCCTCTCCCTTGTGGAAAAAACACTTGAAAAATGTGCGATTCAATTTCTTAAGACTGTACATTAAGAAACACCTGAATGAAAATTTTTAACGAGACAATGGAGAAGACAGTCTACTCTTGTGAAGGAAAGAAAAAAAAAGTCACATGGTAAAAAATGACAAGAGGGTCTGGGTTTTAAAGCCTGAGTTTTCTTGTTGATATGCTGGTTCTAGGCGATAGTTGATTTGGGGCAAATTCAAAACATATTGTCTTGCCCTTATTTGGGAGCTTGGTTCCTGAGGCTGATCATGTAGGACACAAGGTAGACCACAGAGGTTGGGATGGGAGATGTGATACCCTCTGCAAGGCCATCTACGCTTGTCTCCAGGCTCCTACCTGGACTCTCTGAGCCTGACCTCCTGTTTCCAGGCCCTCACACCTGGCGCACGCTACTCTGCACATCACAGGTCCTGCTCGTGCGTCCTCCCTCTCTATTCTCTAGCCCTGGCTGTGACGTGCCTCATGATGCTGTCATGAAACAGGATGAGACACACACAACAGGAAGTGCCACCTCCGAGGGAAGGGGGCTTTGGGGGGAAGGCTCACACTGCATTCTGTGATGTAGGTAGCAAGGTCCTGCTCCAGGAGGGATCTCTGAGTCTCAGAGGCCTTCAGCTCCACCTCCTTCTGACTAAGCACAGCCTCCACCTCTGACACTCTCCGATGTAACCGGGTCATTTCCTGCTCCATCTGAAATAGACACAGCAACACGTTAAAAAAGGCCCGTGGGGGGTTCATTAGGAGTAATCGCGTCTCAAGCCACCTCCGAAACCACCTGGTGGTCCCGGTTGGCACTAACTCGCCAAAATGTTGGGATGGAAATACCATGGTTTCTTCGCCTGGGAGCACACCGGTCTTCGCAAGGACAGTCACCAATGCTAAGTCACTCCTCTCATGCAAGGCTGGGTTCACACTCGATCACTTCTCTAACCCAGTAAGCGAGGAGGCCACAATCACCATTTTTTTCACCTGTTTGTTTTTTGGGTTGGGTTTGGTTTTTTTTTTGCAGATGTCAGTTTAATTTTATCCCAAATCCATCTTGATCCCCCCCATCTCCTTGCAAAGATCTAGAGGACAAATCCAGGACAGGGCAAGGAGATATGGACTCGTCTGCACTCTTGGGAGTCCCAGGCAAGAAGTGACTCTTACGAGCTTCCAGAGAACTGCCTCTGGGCAGGAACAGTGAGCGTTAAGAGACGTTGAGCATAATCAACAGTGGCCGCAGTTACATAGGCAGGAGTTTCTAAGGACTAGGAAGAGAGACTTCGCATCACTCAAAGCAGATGGGATGCATCTCGGCCACAGGTGAGGACCCGCGCCACCTGCCGGAAGACGCAGACATCTGGGTGGGTCATGCTGAGGAACGGGCCGCTTTATATCCAGGGCCTCCTCTGGTTAAGATTTAAAGGATTTACGGCAGCGTCAAGGCCCGAATTCATCTCCCTCTGAGCTGCCGGAGGCGCGACTTCGGCGCGGGAAGGATCAGGTGGCTCGGCGCCAGCGGTGGCCCCGGGCAGGTCCCTCGGCATATATTGACGGGAGGATCCTGCAGCAAGGAGGGAGGCCGGCTGCGGAAATAAATACCTTGTGACACTTGTCCTGGGAGTCTTGCAGCTCTTTGCTTTTGATAAGAAGTTTCTTTTCCATGGAGCTAGTCTTGGCAGGGGAGTCCAGACTTGACACAACAGACCTGGATGGAAGAAAACCAATGTCAAGGTGAGGGGTGGGGATGGGCCAAAAATAATAATAAAAACTTTTAAAAATGAAACTACAGCAGAATTTTGGATTAGCAGATGCAAACTATTACGTACAGAATGGAAGAACAGTAATGTCTTACTGTAAAGCACAAGGAACAGGATATATTCAATATCCTGTGATAAACTATGATGGAAAAGAATATGTATATGTGTGTATATATATGTATGTATGTATCACTGAGTTACTTTGCTGTACTGCAGAGATTAACACAAACTGTAAATCAACACTTCAATAAAATAAATGTTATAAGAAAAGAAACTATAGTAGAGACCAAGACCTGCCAGCATCCTTGGCCATCAAAAGAGCTGGCTCAAGCAGCTTCTAATGACATCATGACCATGAGGCAGAGAGGTAGACAGGACCAAGAACACTGGAAGCAGGAGGATCCAAGTGTAAATTTAGCTGCCACTGACCTGAGGCAATAATTCCGCCTCCCTGAGCCTCCGTTTCCATTTCTAGGAGGTAGAATGATAATAAAAGGCCCTACTATGACAGGAGAGAATGAGCATTAAACACACAGCATTGTGCCTGCACGGCTTCGTTTACTCTTTCATCCAACGGGTATGTGCTATGCACCTACTCTGTTCCAGAAACCTTTCCAGGCACTGGAACGGAAGCAGTCAAGACAGACACAGTCCTTGCCCTCCTGGAGCTGACACTCATGGAGGGCATGCCGAGTACATGGGGCAGACACACGAACTAAAAGGTTAACAGATGATGCCAGAGAATGAAACTGGATGACGTGCTATGACAGAGGAAATGGATCAGGGGCCTGTTTCTCTGAGCAGTGACATCTCAGCTGACACTTGAAGAATGAGAAGGTGCTGGCCTTCCAAAGCTCTGGAAGGAAACAAACTCCAGGGAACAGGGATAAAGGATACAGAGGTCCTGACACAGGATTGAGTTAACACAGCAAGTGGCTACTGTTTTCAGTTAACTATACTGACCAAACTGTTGTCTATTCCATCCCTAAGCCAGCCAGTTTGATTCTGCTTCATTTTATACAAACAGGTAACACTTACTGGTGCTTCCCTGGTGGCTCAGCGGTAAAGAATCTGCCTGCAATGCAGGAGACCCAGGTTTGATCCCTAGATGAGGAAGATCCCCCTGGAGGAAGTCATGGCAACCCACTCCAGGATTCTTGCCTGGAGAATCCCTTGGACAGAGGAGCCTGGTGGGCTACAGTCCATAGGGTCGCAAGGAGTTGGACATGACTGAAGTGACTGAGCATGCACGAACACGTACTATGTCGCATTAAATAAAGTCCTTCCACCAAGGTGTCCATGTCCTAATCTCTGGAATCTGTGGATCTGTTACCAGATGTGGCAAAGGGGGCTTTGCAGATGTGATAATGTTAAGAATTTTGATGGTAAGGATATCCTGGATTATCGGATATCCTTGTGGGTATATATATACATATCCTTGTGGGTATCCTTGTGGGTATATCCTTGTGGATATACATTGTGGGCCCAATGTAACCACAAGGGTCTTTTCAGTATGGAAGCAGAGGGAGACTTCCTTGGTGGTCCAGTGGCTAAGACTCTGCCCTTCTACTGTGGGGGGCACAGGTTTGAACACTGGTTGGGGAACTAAGATGCTGCATACTGCACAGTGAGGCCAAAAAAAATTTTTTTTGAAGATGGAAGCACAGGAAGGGAGGAGATGTGATGACAGAAATAGGGTCAGAGTCAGCAAGAGACTGGAAGATGCTACATCATCGGCTGTGAAGACAGAGGAAGGGGCCACGAGCCAAGGAAACTGGGCAGCCTCTAGAAGCTGGGAAAAGCAAGGAAACTGATTCTCTCCTAGAGGATATCCAAACAGTGTAGTCTCATAAACCCTGCTTCTAGTCCAGTAAAACCCATCTTGAACTTCTGACCTCCAAAAATATAAGGTAATACGTTTGCATTGTTGTGAGCCTCTAAATTTGTGGTCACTTGTTACAGCAGCCACAGGCAGCTCATACACTTACTAAGTGCTGACTCGACATGCACAGTTCTGTCCTAAAGCATTTTAACTCTTTAGTTTTAACTCTTTAGTCTCCCTAGCAACTGTATAAGACAATTTATTATCCTCATTTTATAGATGAGGAAACGGAACTTAAGTAACCTGCCACATGAGCAGGGAACCTAAGTAATCTGCCAGCTAATAAACTGTTTCTGTTGGTCCCAGGAGAGAACTGGGGTAGAGACTGAGGATGTGCTGAACGTTTCTCTCAGGATTTTATCACAAAAATAATGTAGTGTGGCCTCCTGAGAACAGGCTAGAAGGCTGCTCTCCACAAGGACACACTTTCCCACACACATAAACAGAATTCACACACCCTGCCTCATACCTAAAAGCAGTTAATTTTTGTGGGTGGAGATGACAGCTCTCAACTGGGGAGGTTTCCCTCAGTGGTCGGCACCCTAGGCACAAACACTGAGACTGGTGAAGTGCAGGGCCAGAGCAGCAGCCAACAAAGGTTCTCACGCTCTGAGGGATGTGTGGCAGAGCCCACCGCTGCTCTGCTGTCCCATCTACGTCGCCTTGGTAACAGGGCTGCAGGAGTTGCCTGTCAGTGAGCACTGGTATCTTGCCAGCAGGTCAAAGTTCTGCTTTCCGGAGCCCCACACCCTACTTCCCAAGTAAAAGTGGTCAGCTTCCTGCAGCAACGCAGCAGCGCTCTCTCCCTGCAGCTCCTGGCCGGACGACAAGGGCTGGCATAATGGTGCTGGCTCACTAAACCCCAGTGACAGCTCCTAGTACACACTCTGGGGCAGCCAAGTGAGTTGACACCCAGAGTCATGCAGCTCTGTTCAAAATCTGACTTCGTAACTCACTCACCATGTGAGCTCTCTGAACCTCAGTTTCCTCATCTGAATAATGGGAATAATTCTCAACCTAATTTCAAGAGCTCTCATGAGGCTTAAGTGAGATAACCCATGGGAGGTCCTTATCACTATGCCTGACATCTCATGGAGGTTCAATACATGTCAACCATTCTACTATCACTGTGGTTTTATCATGACTACCCCTGCAACGGTGTGAACTGCACATGCCTCACAGGCCTAAAACCCTTGCTTGAAACAGTGAAACTCAGCAGGTTGAATTTGCCCCATGCTATCATCCACATTAGAACAAATGTTCATTATTTACACAAATGGGCAATGGGAACTGAAATCCAGAAATAATTTTTTTTTTTAAAATCTCACTCTGGGCTAAAAATTTTAACCAAGTTCTGCTCCTCTCACTGGCCTATTTTCTATCTAAATCCAGTCAAAACACAAACTTACTTTTTTTTTAAATCTAAGATGAAATGGGTTGCTTGAAGGTATGGCCTTGAGCTGACTTTGCTATTTCTTCCTGATGTTATTCTGGTGGGTGGGCTGGAGAAGAAGACCCAGACCACCAAAGGAGGGAAGGATGACCCACAGACAGGGCCCTTCTTAGTCCTTCAGTCATCAGGAGTCACCCACATGTCACTAAGTCACCTGCACTGACATGAGTCAGGGATGAAGAGAGGGGTCACAGCTCTCTAGACCCGAGCACTGAACCAGCACCCTTGGAGAAAAACAATAGCGTGGGTGCACGATGCTGGGAGGGAAGGTGGCTCTCAAGACTTGATGACAAGTGGAGGGCAGGCTCCAGAGGACTATGAAGTGCACCCCTGTGGATACAAAGCTCATTGTTATTCACCCAAAAAAAAGTGTTTCTAGGCCACTTGTTAATGGGGCCCAGAATCAGGGAGATGCTGAGGCCCTCCCCCTGCCAGCAACCATGGGAGATGACACGCCGGGGGGAGATGACACGCCAGCCTCTCCCCACCGCCTGAGGTCCGACTCCTTCATCCTGCTATTTTAATGCTTGACAAATGTTCACTGTTGAGCCATTTTATGTACAGCAATTAAGAACTCTTCAGAATAAAGGTGCTAAAAGAAATTTTTTTTTTAGAATAAGAATTACATTAAAAAAAAAAAAAAGGCTATGGTAAGTCCGCTGTGACTCAACTCAGCTTGTAGCAACAATCCCATAAATCCCATCCTCCAATCATGCAATTGGAGGATGATGCTGGGGTGAGGACAGAAGGGGGAAAGGTCACTGCAGCTTTCTAGAATGCCCCTGGTCTCCAGCTCGGCTACAAATTAGAATCATCTGAAGAGCTTTTTAAAAATCACTGATGTCGGGCAGTACAATGGCTAAGACTCTGGACTCCCAAAGCAGGTTCGATCCCTAGTTAAGGAACTAGATCCCACATGCCACAACTAAGACCAAGAGCAATCCAATAAATAGATAAAATTATTGATGTCAGGCAGTAAAAACATTTCGTGTGACACTATAGTGGTGGATACAGGTTATTATGTGTGTATGTGCTCAGTCTTGATTGAGCACACTGATTCTTTATAACCCCATGGACTGTAGTCCACCAGCCTACTCTGTCCACTGGATTTCCCAGGCAAGAATGCTGGAGTGGGTTGCCATTTCCTCCTCCAGGTGATCTTCCCGACCCATAGAACGTACACCACCAAGAGTGAACCCTAAGGTACACAGGGACTCTGGGTGATAATGACATCTCATTGTAGGTTCATTCTGGTGGGGGATGTTGATAATGGCGAGGCTGTGCATATGTGGGAGTAGGGGGGTGAATGGGAAACCTCTGTACCTCTTGTTAATATTGCTATGAACCTAAAACTGTTCTTAAAAAAAAAAAAAAAAGATATCCAGGGCCCAACTAGACCACTTAAATCAGAGACAGAGAGACTGGGAGTGGGGCCCAGGCAACGCCATTTTTATTAAGCTCCCGGTAAGTCCGATGTACAGACAGGCTTAAGGACCATGGTGCTGATTAGAACAAAGTGTGTGTGATTTAAGGTCCAGGTATTTAAAGCTCACAGCTTGACCACCCCCAGTATTTGGTTCCCAGTGACACTTTGGCCAGGAAATTTATTACTG